AGCTGCATTCACCAGAACCATATTCATAATCAGATAGCCGGACAGAGAGAATAAGCAATGAGGAGCCCTGTCAACAAACCAACAGGCTGGAACCTATTGCTCAGCAAATATTCCGAAGAAAATGGAGATGCATTAGATGTACTGCAAGGAGACCTACACAAACAGACATCACACACACACCGATCGCTCGAGTGAAGTCTAAGCAGAGAGAGACGTGTTGGGCTTCCTTCCTAGAGTGACGCGAAGAATATCCTATGAGGAGGCAATGAAATTTCGGGGTGATCAGTGTCGTTTACGGGATTAGGTGAGAGTGCTTGCAGAGGCCGAGAACCAAGGCTAATAGGGAAGTTCACATCTCAGGCTTTATATTCCGCCTGGAATTTATGAAATGCATGGCCAGTTAATAACGGTAGTGATGACAATGATAATCACAAGGCAGCTAAATATTCATCTTACTACAAAATGAATAGTATGTAAAATGGCCTTTGAATCACTTACCAAATTCATGAGAAACCTCTCGCTGCATTACATCGACTGCAATATTCATAATACTCGTTGGTGACTGTGCTAAAAATATATGTATTCATAATTATATGAGTGAAATTTGAGTGGACTTACTGTGAAGCCTTTCGATTCTGTGCTTCTCAACCTTTTCTACTTCAGAAATCAGTTGAACTAAACATGTGGAATAATGTCAAGGAGAAATATCAATTGAGCGGATATCTATAAAGAAAGTGGTGAGTGTTTCAATAGCGCATTTTTCATTTCTCCTGCTTCTTATTACAGAGTTTGTGAGTGGATTGTATAAATCGTGATAAGAATAAATGTCATGTTATGGTCGGAGGCGCACAGCAGGCAGAAAGCTCTGGTGACACTCAGATGTTTTCACTGAGCCTCTCAGGCTTTTGATCCGGCTCCTGTAAGGGAGTAGTCTGTTTACTCTGACTGCACACTGGGTAGAAATCATTGTACTTCGCCTAGTTCCTTGTTGCTGATACAGACTGAATCTTACTAATTAAGTCTTGAATGTGAGCACCATGTCAAGTGGCTTAAGTTGGTGTGAGAGATAGTGATGGGTAGAAAAGGAGAGGGTTTTGAAGAGGTATGGAGCATCGAAAGGATGTAATGAAGGGCAAATGAAAATGTACTCAAGACATGTCGGAATTTGAACTTAAGCTAATTAATCTCGGTAGCCAGCATCATTTCAGCTACAGTCAGTTGGCACGGATGAAAATGTCAAGTTGAAATCTGCAAGTCAGACCACCATTACGCTGAAGTTACTTCAGAAATCTCTTGCACTATTCACAAAGACCAATTTTCAGAAATTCAGTGGTAGTGTGATGTCATTCGGTTCTTTTTTATTGTTGACAGACTTCATGTGTCATCAAAAACACTTCCAACAGGCTACTTTAAACTTTTATCACCTTCGCTGACTCCATACTGAAGACATGGTAGGCTGAATGGATCAGCGACAAGAAACTCTAGCAGCGAACCAGCGAAGATTTTTCAAGAGGTCGACAAATAAACCGGGAAAATGGAAATAAATGAGACATAGGCCGAGAAAAAACGCCCAGTGAAATCCTGCACAGTGCCAAGCTCAAATGAAACACGAACGGGAAAAGATGAGATGAGCGTCTGACGGTGACTCTGAGAAGATTGTGTCAGCGGTAAACGAAGGCTTATTTGCAATTGTGGAGCAAGAAAAAGACAAGTTTAGGAGACAGAATCAAATCGAGATGACAAAGACCTGAGTCCTACGAAGAAATGGAGATGTCTCTATACCATCTAGTGAGATTTATCATACGTCAGCTTGGACAGGTCAATGTTAACCATGTAACAGCTTCCGTCCTATTGCATTGCAAAATAAATCTGGTAAGTGCTTCGCTATATACAGGCAACTAAGCCGTGTCTTCTGAAGAGGTGATCGACGAATAACTGGGTCGAATTCACGAAATATCCGTTGATGCGTTTGTTGGAGAATATTCCTCGTCGAAAAATGAAAAATTGTTTGGAATAACTGCACAAAAAAGAACGCATTTTTCAGGCTGCTATTCATTCATAGGTGTCAAAATGAGTTGACGAGATATTCGGCGACTGCATAATGCATGTATCGCTGTAAAGTATCCCACTGCAGCCGTATTAGGGTGATAGTAGTAGGAGTAGTAGCCTACAACGCGAAGAACATGCTCAGGGAAACAAATCGGGATGTCAGAATGCCTCATGAAGCGTGAAACTGGATTTATTCATTTACTTGTACTTGCATACGTATTTACATGGAAAGAACGGAGAGGGTGCATACAAAGAAGATTTCTGAACATGCACAAAAATGATTGTCATTAGGTGGAAGACTGTGCGGTGACCTGCCGAGTGGTGAAATGACAGTAGTAGGAGTAGATTACTACGATATGGAGAGACAGCAGGAATCCAACAACTGATGCCTAAATTTTGCATACAGACGGATTTTGTGATCCACCCCAAACTGTTTTCCTAATTGGTTGTTTCTTTACTTACTGTTTCATTGTTTATGTGATCTGTTTACCCTACTCAAATATTGTTCACCATTCTAACACTTTACACATCTCATTATGTTTATCATATGTCTGACATAAATAAACCGCATCAATAGAGATTTTTACTGTTGTGGACTTTGCAGTAGACAAATGGATTACCTTGAAATATTTAGTATGTAAGGATTTGATTATCTTCACGTTTGTATCACGGATTGACATCAGTAGTAGAATCATTGAAAAGCAGCTGGGATCACTGGCCAGCCGGTTCTCCATTCCTAGTTCGTGGCTCATCGACAGTGCGCACGCATGAACACACCTGTCGGTCAGGAAGAAGGACTCTTAGGCTGTAACACTCACTCGCTAGCGATTGACTTCAAAGCGAAGTTGACTGCAGTTTTAGTGACAAGTCGTGGCCGATGTTGTACACCAGGAAGTATATGCGGATAAATACTAGCGTAAGACATCGGCTGCTGCTTCTGATAAAATCGCAAAGTGAGACTTTCTAGAATTCAGTGGCAATTGTTTAATGGCCTTTGCTGGTGACTAACGACCTTGTTTCCATTATCTGCATGTCTTTGATTCTACATCCAGGAGAGTTTTGGGAGCGCACGGACGAACAACCATGAACTAGGCAAGAACAGCTGTTCAGTGGTCCATGGCGGTTCGCTTATTGATATCAAACCGTGATCAAACTTGAAGGAAATCAAACCTTTACAAAATAACTTTTGAATATTCTGTATGAATTTCTGCCTTGCGAAATCCCTTTCCAAATAAAATGCAACAGCTTTTCAACACGTGTCCTTCAGATATGCACACATGCCTTCTTTGTTTCACTCTGCGCAGCGTTGTCAGAATTAGAAATTGCTTCACAGAAAGAGTTAGGAGGATTGCAAACACACAATTTTCCGCTTACCAACAGCATCCTTGAATTCAGATACTCGTACATTGTCCTGGTCTGAATTCGTCAAGAATTTGTCACTAGCTGAAAACAAACATGGGAATATTGATAGAAACGTTTAGCTTGTACATAGAAGTAAAGATGACTGAGAGATTTAAAAGTATTGAGTGACAAGTAGATATTCACTTTGCATGTTTTGAGTTGTGAGCGGATCATATGGATCAAAGAAAGTTGAATTCTTGACGTTTCAGAAGCTGAGGTATTGTTTTAACGGCCGACATTTGTTTACAACAGGTGTGATCTTTTTCTTTTCGCAGTTTAACATGCGCTGGTACACTGAGTGAGGTAAAGTTGCAGATTGGCTGGGAATAGACAACATGGCCGAGTGGATACACGGAGCATTAGTTGCATATTCACTTTGACGCTAATGCTTAGTAAACAGATGGATGTGAGGTAAGTTTCCATCACTACTTGAAATCAGTTAGGGAACTAGTGAAATTCCGTAGATAGTGATTAGCTGCCTTGTCGAAGAAAGATTTGAGTTGAATATTTTCAGAGAATCGGAATCGAAGTGGTTTCCAGTTCTCGGCTTATGTTGTCAAGGCCAGCTGATGAATCATTGTTGATGAGTACAATATACATCCTTCGGTGATAACACTGCGGACTTGAACACCGCGAACGACTTACGTTTACTGTCAGACAGATTCGAGGATACAAAGGTGAAAGCCAACTGTTTGAAAAAGTTGACAATTTGAAATTCTATAGCAAAAGTCTGAAGTCATCCAGTTCGTCAAGTTCGAGCAGAAACTTTGTGTGTCACCGAACCAATTTAAAACAATTCACTACGGAAGTTTATCAGATGATCATTTCAATGGCTAGATTTCGAAGACCTAGAGAATGTCTTGTCAAGTTTAGCCACGTTGAGCTCTCTCAACAAATCAACCAAGGACCAATCGCCCAACGAACATGGAGACGGAAATAGAGGTGGATTAGACACACACGGTGGAGACTGATCAGTGTTATCACTTTCGACAAACAAACCGTCTAGTGGAACGCAAGTAAAAAATGACTGGTTGAGCGTGAATTCGAGTGAAGAGGAGATGGGAACTAATGAACAATCTTGGATGCAGCTCACTATGTCAACAGGAAACAGGATACTTGGAGATGTGCTTTGCATGTCCCATGTTCCACTCGGAACCTGAGGGAATGATAACCAGAAATACATGGTAAAATGTGCATCACGTATGAAATGCATCCATGGATAGATGTATCGGTGAATGGTCGAATCACGGTATTTGATGTGCGAAGAAATTATGTAGGTTCTGATTGAGTAGTACAGATGATCCCATATTAGTTACAACGAATCCATACCGACTACAGACATTCCATTCATCCTTGCATATCTGTCAGAAGAAGATTTTATGGTGACAAACACGAATTACACTAAGGACGATAAATTGATCTTATTGCAGGTGGCGATAATGTCTGATGATGTTGGTGGTGTTGCTGGTCAGTAGACAGACGTAGCCATTTATCAATTAGAAACAACCAAACAAGCTAAGACTTACCAAATTTATCTAGTTGCATTCCTTTCATTCCCAAACATTTCTGTTCAACTTTTTCTGGACAGAGAGAAATGAAATGAAGAAAACTTCAAGATGATTCGATCAACCAGTCAATATGAACTGAGGTTTGGATGATAGATCCACGTTTAAAGAGTGTCTCTTGGTATAATTGTGTACACCGAGCTTGGTGGTTTAACTGAGTAGCTTCCATTGCCTTACTAGACAACATCCTCAGCCACTTGAGAGTCCTCTTACCGACTGACGAGTGACTAGCACAAATCATTGCTTCTGCATGATTGAAAATAAAAAAGTGGGAAACGCGTTTGAAATTTAACATTTTTTCGAAAATTTGTTTACCTCTTGTTTCGTAAAATTTCTTTTCGATAACGTATACGGAGTCGTCTTCGATAGTTTCTTCACCTAATGAAGAGCACGCATGAATGCTAATGTGAGTGTCATTTCAGCTTTGTTAAGTGAAAATGAAATTTACCTTTGATGGCTTTGAGTCATTTACTCTGTGGGAACTCAACACATGTTTGCGAGGAAATTTGCGAAAGTTCTCATTGTATGGTGAGACCAATTGTCAGTGCATGCATGGGGTTTCCGACATTCTTTCCTTAGACTATTCCTCTTTCTCGGGTCAGTCACTCTACACTGAACTCAATCTGTGGGATCCGATTGCCTGACTGACTCTGACCAATTGCACTGGTGACACCTGTGTAGCTGACTTTGAAGTCGTTTTAAGGTATTTTGTGCACATGCAATTAGTCTTCTCTAATTGGGTAAACAGAGTCTTTTGGCTTTCAGAGCTTGTTTCCGAGTGATTTTTTAGATTTGATTGCGTCATTCTCATCCTGACTTTATTCAGAAAGCTACGTAGAATTTCGAATGGTTTTCCCTGATATGGTGGAAATGCAGACGCCTAAAATAGTTCCTAACTTATATCAGTAACAATGAATTTCATAGGAGATTTACCCATCACTGATGTTTCTGCTGCCTCTTTTATTTCAAGATTTAATTAATCTGGCTCGCCTTATAACCAGAAGGACCTAGGTTGGAACGCCGACTGGTGCGTACTAACGAAGAGTCCGAAAACTAGTACGAAATAGCTGTGAAGTGCTTCCAAGTTTTCCAATGTTTCCCTAATTGATGTCAGCTCATAATGAAATCGTATAATCAGTTTCTAAGTAAGTTAAGCAAGTCTCCCAATGTAAACGACGGAGAGAATAAAAGATGCGGTGAATGAACAACTTCATCCACCTAAGGCTGGACTGAAGAGAAGCGAATCATGTACGGATCAAACGACAACTCTCTGCATCGTAATTGAACAGAGCACAAGATGACGGTCAAATCTGAATCTCAAATTCATCGACATTGAAGAGGCGTTCGAATCGAATTGCAAATTACTTCAACAGTATGCAGTGCATTATCAGAGACCTTTACCGATCATATTCAACAGCCATATGTCAATGCCTTTTATCAGGTGGTCAAGAGAAGAAAACTCAGCGAAGCCTCTGAAGTGGAGATAACACTAAGACGTGGCTCCTTAGTACCAACTGTGATGTTTCTGACCGTAGGTCACTCGATCATTTCGGAGATTGTAGGCAGCGAGAAAACAGGAATTTGCTAGACAGATAAGAAGACGCTGGGAGTTCGGGATATCGAGGTCAACAAGCACCAGTCACTATACACGGAGGAAATTTGAAAGTGGTCACTTCCTGCACTTGTTTAGGAAGAATTTCATTCTAACCAAGTGAAGCATGCATAAGACATTCAGAACTCCGAAATCAGCTTAGGACTCTGTCACACTCAGTATGAGGAGATGAATTCGCTTTTATAACACTAGTTTGAAATCAGTTCTGTATTCTAGAGGGACCTGGTGTGCTGTCAAAAGCAGTTCAAACAGGCTATTAAGGAATGTTATCAGCAGCTGCATTTGCTGACTTCATACAGAAGATCAAATGGTCAAACTGCAAGGATCAGCACGGAGGAACTCAGGGAACGAACCAGTCAATAACCCGATAATCAGAAAATATGTGAGAGAAAGTGGAGATGGATGAGACAGAGGTTGATGAGACTGTCGGGTGACACGGAACACCAGATCATCGGTTGATTGGAACCCGAGTAACTCGTCGGTTCCTCCGAGGCAAGTAATAATTGCAATAGTAGCTTTGTTCCCGACAGCGTTTATTAAGTGTACGGACTTCTCTGCAGAATTAAATGAGTAATACATACAAGTCATATGCGCAGTTTACTCGCACCCATTTTAATAGTTCTCAATTACGAATGAATGAATGCTTACTTCATATAATTTATCTTCCATGAGGATGGTTATTCAAAACTGATATCATTCAATAATCCATCTACCTTAGAAATCTTCTTCACAGTGTATTCATAGTGCTCAAGAGTCCTAAAATGAGACGCGATGGCTTTCCAGTACACTCTGCTTATTTCCAATGATTTTCTGACTTGTGTGAATTAGAAATCACACCTCTAACTTATCTCAAATCTTTCAGTGTGAATTGATAAATGTGTATACGCTATGATCATTTCTGTTACTCACCTGCATTATTAATTTTTTCATTCGCCTGCATATAGGCCTTTTTATAGTACATAGCTATGAATACAAAACATCATGGATGTATTTCATAGTTAAAAACACACAATGAAAATGAGTAGGCTTAGAATGTGTTTCGTGAAATTTATCTCATAAAAGGTGTATATGACCATAATAAACAATTGTGAGTCGATACTTACAAGTGTTTAATGGATCCATGTCAGTGAGATTTCTGGCATAAAATAAGACTGTCAAACTTTCCGATGTATTTCGTGCAGTTTTATGTGATGTGAATATTTGAGGAGTTAAGCTCAGGTAGACTGATGTTTCAGAGTAGAGTTAAATCTCATTCATATCAGGCAACAAATCGACCATATTTTCCCATATTTTCAAGCTTCATCTCATATTAGCGCTCATGAATATGCTACTAATTCTACTCATACTGCATCTATTTCTCCTGTCCTAACAGTACGACGTCAGTGGCATAGCGGTTGGGACCCTCGCCGACCATGCACATGGTCCGGGGTTCGATCCCCGGCCGGCGCACTCCTTTACCTCGCTAAGCCATTAGGGAGACTGGTGAAGAGGCAAGGTTTGGCATTAGACTAGCAACCCCATCCTGTGAAAATAATCACCACTGCTATAGAAACTTCAAGCATCTAGCTTGAAGCCCTATGTTCCACTGGGAACGTGCGAGAAAATTAAAAAAAAACAGTACGACCTAATAGTCGTTCAACTGAAAACAGACACTGACTATCTGAAAACATGCATATCCTTCTCAAATAAATACTTGGCTGATTATTCTTCTCATCAATCGTCTTCAGTATTTCACTACTGCTCTTACTACTATGTTATGTGATTAGGAAGGTTTAAGTTAGCGAAGAGAGCTCTTATGTTCCTAACTTCCATACAAAGATGTCTCACGTCTGGTTGACACTCAAGTGATGACATGGGACATCATGCCTTTCATCGGTCACTTCAATGCGCCTCCGATCCTTCTCATTTTCTCCAGAATATTTGTTGAGTAATATTTTTTGAATGGTTCGATCTCAACTTCGCTTGTTGCGAAATCCTCTCGTGTTCGTCTGTGGCTCAGTGCTAGAATGCACATGAGACGTGCATGTGGTCTGTGTTCGAATTTCTAGCCGACACACCCTCTTGCCTCAGTCAGCAATAAATAATAAAAAATAGACATGGATGGGTGTGAGACAGGGATATCACTGTGTAGCAAAAACCCAGGTTATTTAGAGTCCAAATCGTAGGCTTGATAGTATATGTTTATATGTATATGTATATGAAAGCACGAGCGAACAAAATGAATAAATTATTAAAAATAAACATTTTTCCTGGACATCTGATCCCCATAATGCCGTGAAAACATTGTCTTCTGATCAGCGTCTGCATTCATCCGTTGTAAATGCTTTCGGTCAAGCGCCTGTCAAGTCACTGAACCATACAGAAGAACTGACTCAACATTGGTGATGAAAATCAAAATTGTGTCCATTACGCTGAGTGAAGAATATCTCCAAACTGATCTCAGAATCATGGACATCTGTCTGAAAGCCTCCATTCCTGACTGCTTTTAAAATACCCCTCCATGGTGGTGTCTGTATTTGAAACCATACTGTCTGGCTGAATAAGTGAATGCAGTGACCACTTCCGAATTTCTCCCTCTCATGATTATTGGTGTTGGTTGTTGTTGTTGTTGTTACTGGTGGTGGTTGGTTGTTTTTTGATTATCTTCAAGATATGCATCTGCTCTGTGCTCATTCCTGTCTTCGCTTATGAGAGTAGATAGCAACTTCTGTTGTCAGTTAGCACTTTATATATAAACACTCCCAAACTAGTGACTATCGCACATATTGTCAAGATCATGAATAAGCACAGGACATAACATGGTAACAGAATTCAACACAATGCATTTATCATTTACACTGAATATCTTTGAAGCAACAATGCCAACACCAACAACAACAAAACTATGTCGACTAACCTGCTGTGACAAGCAGATCTTTTCTAGCCTTCCATACATCGCCAAGAGAGTTAACGAAGGTGGAAAAGACTGAAAATCATCAGTAGAATACAGTGTTAGACTCATCATCTTCTTCAGAAACACGAATTTTTATTTACATGTTATCTTAGTTTGCTTTAGTTCGATCACCAACTTTCCTGTCGATTGATTGGGCAGAGACGTTTGACGTCTGTTGCTCTGTTGGCTCCTAGAAGACACTGTGTGACGAAGTCTGTGGATTAAGTTGGAGTGATTTGGTGGGTGTTGACTGGAGGCGGAATCCCTGATGCTTGTCTCGTGATATTGAGAACCGGTCAGTTGGGCGTGCCTGCATTCCTTAGCGGGTGATATTCTTCCCCCAGGGGTTGAATATTTTAGTTCAATCAGTCAACAGGGAAATCGAGGTTTACTCAGAACAAACGATATGTGGTGAGCGTTACAGTAGGGGCGGGTTTGTCTCGTGGCCTTAGTGGTATAAAGGATGAATCCATGTTGTTTGAAATGATAGCCACTGGTTTTTTGTCACTGAAATCATTATCGCCAGCTAAGGAATGCACCCACTTCCAAATGAAGGATCGCAGATTGCACGTAATATGCATCGTGGTTTTCACAGCTAGTCAGCACCCACCAAATCACTTAACATGTTCTGTGAAGATGACTGAGAATTCGATTTCTATAGACGTCTTTGCAGAGGAGTTGAGTATACTGTATTTGCGACTGCTGACTTGGGATGATTTTGTTGGGTTGATTTGTACTGAGATCTATTTTGGGTAAATGCATTGAAGTAGTCAGACACATTGATGATTCGACACCAGCACATGAATCGTGTTCAGCGTCTACCGAGCGTTGGCAGCACTAGTTAATTATCCAGATACGCGTTGAATAGAAAGTATGAAAATCAGTACTCCACAAAAATTATTTTTATCGTGTTTGGGATGCCAGGAAGATGGTTATCTTCAGAGTCAGGATCTCCCCGATAGAATCTTTAGATAAACTAGAAAAATAGATTATGTGATTCTGAAATATAATACATGGTGGGGAGTGCTGAATCTATGATGTCGATCGCTGACATGTTCCATCAACGACAATAGTTGGGGTCGTGCTAAATCACGAATGGGTAGAAGTCAGAATTCATGAGCCATTGAATCGGGTTCCAGTGGCTGAATGGTATACGAGCTCGCCTTGTAACCGGAAGGTCCTGAGTTCGAATCTCAGTGGGTTCGTACTGCCGATGATTCCCAAACTAGGATGAAACAGCAGCTGTCCAGTACTCCCTGGTTTTCAATGGTTCTCTAACTGATATCAATCCGTGATCAAATCGTAAAAACATAACTTGGTTGTGGCGAATAGTCGTGAGGTGGATTGGGGAATTGAAAGTCGGTCTACCTACCACTATGCTAGAAATATAAAATACAAAACATTTCGACATGGAGATCAGAAGCTACCTTTAGACTGGCGAATTTTTACTTTTATCTTACTTGATTTGGGACCATTATCTTTAAAGATGGTATGATCTGCAAAATGAACAAATATATAAACTTTCGAAAGTCAAGTGCAAGACCAAGAATGCCAAATGCCCGCCACCGATGAATGCATCTCCTATCTAACTAACTAAGTAAATAACTAACTAACTAACTAACCAACCAACTAACTATCTATCCATCCATCTGTCTGTCTGTCTATCTATCTATGTGTGAATCTATCTATCAGTCTATCTTTCTCTATGTAGATCTCTTTATTCAATTATATGCGGAGGAATTAATATTTTAATCCATTCACCCATATATAACTATAATTGTATTAATTTATTGAAGGTATCATTGAACTCACCGTCGTACTTTTGAACTTCTTTCTGGAAGTCTGAATAGCAGATAAATACAGACACTTTCTTTACTGACCAGGCGCATTTAACACTTTCACTTTTGAATATATGTATAAATATTCAGCTTATTACTTTAAATTAGAGGCACAATTTCATGTAATGAAATAAGGAAAATCAGCATTTTGAAATAGGCAATAAGGAAGTGACAACAGAATTTCTGAATCAAGCAGGCCCACTGGATCACATAGAACTTTTGTGTGCAATCAATGATTTCCAACCGTTAATTTCAAGAGAATGGATGTGTTTCTAATTTGATAACGGACTGGTATCAGTTAGAGGAGTGTTTGTGAACCACCTGGGAATACTGAACCACTGTTGTCGCAATACTTCCCACCTCTCTGGAATAATAATCACAATAACCTCTATCGTAACAATAAGAACGTTATTTCACGCAAGAGGTTCACTGACACAACGTGGAATTTTCAGCACGTGATACAATAATTGCATGTAATGTCTACTTTACACTGCATAAGGTGAAGTAATTAACAGTACACTTGCATTGATGACAACAACAATGAGAAATACGAATATAAAGTCTTAATTAAGCGAAATTACTGACAACAATGTAATAACAGTGAGAGAAAGAATCCAAGGGGGCATCGATATGCTGTTTTGCGCAGTGAATTGGTAGTGTCATATCCTACACTTTCCCATAACATACAATGTGTCCTGGCCAAATAAGGCGTAACTGAGTTTGTGTCCAATCGTCGGTTTATAGAGTTTTCTATGGTTACTGCTAGTTATACCTTGTGAATGGAGAAAAGAGAGTTGTGTGTAGAGGGGAAGCTCAGATTCCGACAGGATAATTATCACTGATTTCTTCAGTGAATTCTCGAGTCTATCCACAACAGCATCAACAAGCAGGTTTGGTGAAATCCGAAAGAAATCACACAGATATCATTCAGTTGGTGATCAATCTTGAGAAGTAGTTTGACTGTGCCTGAATCCCGGATTCGGAAAAAATTCTTTGCATGGGGTTGTCGTGTCAATGCCTCCAATTGTTAGTATAAAACATCAATTTCATCTAGCCTTCTTCACGTCATAAGCAGTTATTCTGAACAAAATAAATCATACCTATATATTCTGTATACAGATTAGATAATCCGTCCACATTCTTCCAAGTAGAGTCGCCTTTCAGTGCTGAAATCAGTGAAAATACAATTCATGAATCATTTGAATACAAAGTAAAGTGATGGGGTTTAGGTGGAGAGATATGTGTATGTGATTGTCACAGTGTGAGACACATTTACTGATTGGGGCTGATAATAACGTTGAATTGAAATTGCGGTTTGCAAATTACTTCATAGTTTCCACAAGTTTTAGGTGGTTATTTCCGCATATGGCCATTCCGTTTATGGAAATTCTTCATTGTGATATGACTCTGCTGATTTCAGTGAAACTAGTAGTATGAAGTGTAATGCATCTAGGTGGGTTCCACTGATTACCATTTATGATATCAAGCAGGCTACACTTACATGTGCTGTTGGGAATTATCTCCGTTTCCGAAGGTAGCTGAGGGGGAAATTTCACCTCCTCGAACTGAATAAATTGCAGGTTTGATTTGATATACATTACTAGTTCTTACAGCCAGCTGAGAAGCCAGGAGAAATTCGGGTGGTCACAAATGTGGTAAAGTTGGACACATCAAGACTGTTTGCAGAAGTTCGAATACTTATGTTGCTCAACATTCTTATAATTCTTCCAATCTGTCTAGTAAAATGGAGTCTATGTGTCTTTCAACCTTTCAAAATACCCAAGCTAATCCAATGAAAACCTCCACTACAAGTTCAGCAACTCAAGCATCAACTTTTTTCAAAAATGACGTAGCTGAGTTACAATGCGAACTGTCGGAAACACGAGAAAAACTGAATGAGATGAGAGAGCAACTGATTAAAATGGAGGAATTTCTGCACATGCATAGACTGCGTCTGTTGAATGCAGAGCATACAAGTACCCGTGAAAGTCCTGCAAAACTTTTCAAATCTCGAATTCTCAAAAAGCATCTGATGTCCACGACTTCTAATGTACATTATTACAAAGGGAAAGACTATAGACCTTCTGTTGGAATTATACTACAAAAAATGGGAAATCGAGTGGTGAAGATATTAGACATCAAAGATCACTCAGTTCATAACAGACACCTGGACAAAGTGACAATAAATGAAGTAGGTCGTTCCAATTATTATATTATTGATTCCGCTAATAATCCTGATTTTGTAGATAATTCAGAAATAATTCCAGATAATACTGATGAAAATGATATCACAGAATCAGTTAGAAGGTCGCAGCTACTTGCAAGCAAATCGCGACATCGTTATAAATACGCAAGGAGATGTTCGACGTGTGGCGGATGTGGTGATTGACAATTTCTATCTCTGTATTCTTTAAATACTTACTGTTGATTGTTAATATGTTTCTTATATGAATTGCATAATAATTCCGCTAAATACAAATTCCTGATTGCTGCCCTCTCTGGGTTTTGTTTGGATTCTTATAATTCCGTCATCTCGAAATACTAATATTACAAGTGCAATAAATTACTACACATTCCGTAAATGGAAATTATTCGTTGTGATATGACTCTGTTGATTTCAGTGAAACTAGTAGTATGAAGTGTAATGCATCTAGGCAGGGTTCCTGTGATTACAATTTATGATATCAAGCAGCCTACAATTACATGTGCTGGTGGGAATTATCTCTGTTTCCGAAGGTAGCTCCTCGAACTGAATAAATTGCAGGTTTGATTTGATATACATTACTAGTTCTTACAGCCAGCTGAGAAGCCAGGCGAAATTCGGGTGGTTTGAGCCGGGTCAAACTGGTCAGACTGGTGAGAGCAGGCTGCTAGCCAATTGGAAGTCATCAATCTTTGTCAATGTCTAGGTCACTAATATTGGCCGTGAGAAAATATGAACAAGGCTGATTCAACAATTAATCACAGCAGACTTAACGTGTGCAAATAAGATTCGCAAATATATGGCATTAATTTTCCGAGAAACCAGAAATAACTTATCAGAAGACTGTGTTTGTCTGCTTGAATAAGCTATAATAATGTACATGAAATATATCTAAATACGTGCTGATTTCCGTAATAAAATGATGTGTTTTCGGCCCTTGTCTTCTGTTGTTACACATGTACTCATTACAGTCAATCATCATTATCTCGATGAACACTACTGAATTCTGTATTATGCATTTAATTTGTTTACAGTCATCACTGGTACTCACTGTTCAGATAATTCACCACAGAGTCCGCAAAATTCTTATCCTTGGTGTTACGAATAGCTGGAAGACAGAAAAAATGACATTAGCAACGCCTATATGAAAGTAGTCTCAGCAAATGTGTAGAAGCTGCACGCTGAGATATGGGAATGTAATTCCACAAAATTGTGCGTCACACACATAATGACACAGTATCATTCACAGTATAAATGAGGTTTGAATACAATTTCTGATTTTTCAGAATCATGTTGGTGGAATAGAAATTTAACCAAAAACACAAAATAACGCATTAATTGTGAGTCTCTTTTTCCCAGTTCATACTGAACTCATGGACTAACTGATGATTCAGGTTCCAGTGTATGAACGTTCAACAAAAACCCTCCTAATCAGGAGTTACCAAGTTCGCATCTCACTGGTTTGCATACTGCCGATTGGTCCAAAACTAGCACCTAGCAGTTAGCTGTAAGGTACTGACTGGTGGTTTTCAGTGTTTCTCTAACTGATATCAATTCGTGGTCAACCTAGAAATAAACAATTGTATACGCAATTTATTCGTCCAGTAAATATTAGTGTTTCCCTTTGTGATATGCGTTGGCGGTTTGGCAGAAGCATACTTGGTAACCCATTGAATGTGGTTCGGTGTTTGGATCCCGACCATTGGTCACAGATCTGGGAAACGGAGTGGGTTGGACGTGAGTGAGATGATCGTTTCGGTGAGAATTTCGAACATCGGAGAGACAGGTTGAGTAACCTGCACAGAGAATGCGGAAGGCATGGAATGGAGACAATGTAAGTGGAATGCGAATCACTTTTACAAATTGAAACTTAAGTGTAGGGTTTCTGTATTTTGTCATGAATCAGTGTAAGCCAGTTTGCAAAATTTCCAGAGAATATGTTCAGCGAACAGGCTAGTCCGGAAGAAATCATTTTCTCCATCAGCTGTACAATCGCATTCCTACTCCCTTTTTCATGAAAGTGTCTAGTGTGAATAAGTGTTTGCTTCGCTACAGTGAATCTATGAGGACTACGACAGTTGAACACTTGGTCAAACAGTCGTCATTTCAGTTCAGCAAACTCCGCCTTCAAAGTGATCTACAATTTCATCTTCTCTACCATTATCTGACGTTCTAGCTGTTCAGACAGAGAATCTGGAACTCTGCATTCAAAAGCAAATAATTATTCAACCACTTCTGCTTGTGTGCTAGCAACCTTGTTTGTTCGTTCGTTTGATTATTCCAGCCTTTTTATCGCTTGTTTTCCCTACGAACTCTCACGCGAAACCACATTCACCCTTGTTTTTGCCTGCATCCTGATTACAGCTCATCTGTACAAATTATGCGTTGTCCTAATGCATAACTCAGATATCCTCATTTACCTGCTGTTATAACA